CACAAGGCACAACGAAATGGTCCTCGTTGAAGCAGCCTTCACGAATTTCTTGTGTACTTCAACTGACCCAATTTAGCTACCTCAGGCATGGTTTTCTACACAGATGCAGAAGACTGGAAGAACAGCTTCAACAAGGAAGAAAAAACTCTAAAAAAAAAGGACAGTGAATGTAAAAAGTGCTTTAATACTGTACAAAACTAAGAAGGAATATTATTTTTGCCGAAATCCGCCACGAATCCACGGAAGTCCTTGGCCTTCACCACAAGCGCATGTACGTTCCTCAAATGCTCCAAAAACTCGCTCTTCTCCGGAACGGATTCGTTGCACACTTTACACAGCAATCCACTTTTGAGCATTTCGACCTTGTAGATCCCGTGATTCTTTTTGTGATGCGAACGGAGACTTTCCCGAGTGTGGTAAATCTTTCCGCAGAATTGACACGAGTACTCTTTGAGGCCCGGGAGACGAACACTGTGTTTGGACCACATGTGGGATATGTAGAGAGCCCGAGACTTGGTTTTCTCTCCGCATTCGTCACACACTTTCAATTGGATTTTTTGCACGGGTTTTCCGACGCCATGGGACTTTGCCATGTGATTACGAAGGGAATTGTAGGTGGAAAATTTCTGATCGCACAGCTTGCATTCCCTCAAGACCTGAAGGCAAACAAATCATCAGATGATTCGGAAATTTTAAAATCCAAACGAATTTCTATCGTCGCATTCTTAGAAAAAAAAATATTTTGGCTTCACAACTTGATCCTAAAACCTATTCCCCCAATACCTGATGACAACGAGTCATCAGGTTATTACAAATTTTTTTTAAATCACAAGAATTTCCATCGTTGCACTCTCCAAAAAAAGAAAAAATGTTTAGACTTCATGAGTTGATTGAAAATCCTACCTTTTCTTTCTTGTGCACAGTATGCATATGCGAGCTCAAATTGCACTTGCTGATCAACTGACCGCAGTCAGGACAAAGCATCATGTGGTATTTCGTATTTTCATGCTTGCGACGGTGATGATCGTACCTAAAAATAAATCACGTCACGTCGAAAACATTCAGAAAAATCACTGGATTCACTTAAAACTCACCTTCCGGGCGTTGAAAATCCCATGAAGCAGATCTTGCAGGTGTACAAATCCTTCTTTAAATGCATCTCGTGAATATGTATCTTCGACGCAAGCTCAGTGGGAAATCTTTCTTGACAATGCTCGCATTCAAAAGGCAGCTCGTTATCATGAGCTTGCAACAGATGCAAGTCGAATAAATTCTTCAGGGCAGTCCGGAAAGTGCACAAACGACAAGAAAAGTACAACAGTCCTTGTTCTTCCCGTTCTTTCGAAGTTCTCGCTATGAGTCCGTCATGAATCTTGAGTACGTGCTCCCTGAAATAATGGACACGAACGGGCCTCCGGCAGTGAATGCAAACCACGTCCTGTCGAACCCGATCCAAATGATCTTCTAGATGGGTTCGCAGGGCCGAATCGTCGCCGAAATATCGCCCACAATCCCAGCACTTGGTTCCATTGGCAACTTTGTGGTGCTTTCCGTAGTGTTTGTACAACAGGGCCGGTTTCCCGAACGCCTTTTCGCACTCGCAACATTTGTAATATTTCCCGCGTTTTTTATTCTGAATATCGTCTTCTTCTTCAAACTTTTGTTTCTTCGCAATGGGAGAAAATTCTTCGTCGTCGAGCTCTTCGATTTCAACAATGGATTCTGAAGTTCTGCATCCAATCGATTCTGATTTCGGTGAAGTACTTTCAAGGTCGTCCTCGTTGTCATCAACTGCTACCTGAAATTTAGACATATTAGACAAATCGAAGACTGATGCGAATAAAATTGCGCAGAACACGAAGATAATATTCGTATTGCAAATAGAGAGCGATTCAATTGAATTCTCACGTTCTACTTCTGAGATACCTTACGAAATACTCCGAATTCTTCACCTTCGGCCTGTTCCATCAAAAATACTACAGGTCTTACATCATTTATCCCCGGAAAGAAACGAAATCGATACAAGGTGTAGGTCTACATTTTAAACGCGTAAAAATTCAGCCACATGAGTATCTTTGGTCAAGATCGAGATAATTTTGTGCAGAAAATTCGACAAGATACAAGAGCTCATCGAAGACGATGAAATATTTAAGCGATCGGGAGTTAGATGTGAAATTCCAAGGGATGGTTATTATAGTAAGGAAAGGAGTAGAGAACATACAGTACTTCAATTTTTTTGACACTTGAAGCTCGTTTTTGCATCGATGCCCATAGCGGAGCCATTTACGCAATTTTTTGAAATTTCCACCACGACCTAAGGATCCCCAGGTAATATCCTATGTTTCATTGCATCTCACATGCATATTAAATTCTTAATCCATGCACAAGAGTAACTTTTTCGTTGTTCCTTTTTGATCTAACACAGATTTTCAAGCATTTCTTCAGAAAAACATCTGCGAGTATGGCCTTGGTGTACCTAGTACTTGCTCCTCTCGAAATTTGGTCAAGCTGAAGCGGACTCGAGCTTCTCTTTTTTGCTTTTTACATAAGGAGAATTTCATGCGAGAGCAAAATTAATATTTCGCGAAACGAAAAGTAATTACAGCTTTCGATGAGCTATAGTCTTGATTTATTCCGTTATTCTTGAGCAGGCTGAAAACAAAACGAATTGTTCCTACAGACGCATCATTCGTAGCTGAACTCATTCATTTGATTGAAAATTAAACAATGAATTGAAAATACTGTACTGTAAAATCAGAAGTTGAATTAAGATTCAAGGATTTTCGGAGACGGGTATTTTTCTTCGAAAATATTTCATTTTAAAATGCGAGCTCTTATTTATTCTAAGAAAAATAATGTACTATATACAGTTATGTTACATGAAAATTAGTTTCGTAAATCTTTCGTTAGAAAAATAAGGCAAATTTTCATTTGAGTCACTTAGTATCAGGAATGCTTTATTAGAACATCTCGCATGTAAGATTCAGACGGACGAACCTTCCAGAAAACTTTGATGGTGGTTAAGAAATGGAATAATCTTATGCTCGACCAGTGTTGCTAAATTTCGACACTGGTTGATGAAACATCGAAGAATGCTTCGCAGATTAGGAAAATGTTAATTGGAACGAAAACTTTCAACTGTCCGATTCCTCTTTCGCGTATTCAAAAGCGTGTTAAGTGTAATAAAAAGGGGGAAAAAGATTCAATGATTGTTTTAAGGATCCAGTATGACTCACGAAAATCACATACAGTTTACTTGCACAACATAATCCAGTTAGTCGAACAACTCTTGGTTTCGATTAGGGCACAGACTCTTTGTCTAACTTCATTGAATAAATGGCTAACGGAATGTGATAAGAAGTTAGCCATTTATGCAATCTCTGCGTGAGATGGCAAGGGAAATTATGAAGGCTGGCCACATAGATTCAAGGATACGATTTCACGGTGTAATAGTACGAATGGGATACTTCAGTTTTAATGACACAAAAGCACAGCAGAAAAAAATAAATATTGGAACTAAGAGGAATTTTCTTTCGGTGAAATAAAGAATTCCGTTTGAATGAATGAAACGTAGAAAAACTGCTTTTACACGTGTTTGCTCTATAGTCTATACATTCCCATGAACTACTCACTCACTCTTACTTAAAGGGTGGAATACGTATTTTTGGTCGATATTTTACAGTTCAATGTGTACGCTTACGAAAAAATTTCATGCTGTTCAAGATATACTGTATATGGATGAATGAAGCGGCGAGGATTAGGCGACAGCCGTTTCTCCTAAACATTTCTCACTAATATGTATGCAGATACTGATTTTGACACTCTTAAAAAAAAAGGCATACATGACGTCCTACGCTACATCATCTTCAGCCACGGATATAAAATCCGGCGGATCAAAATCTTCCAGCGGACGTGTAGAACCCGAAATTGGTTTCAAGGTTGTGGTGCAAGATGTAGTAAAATATTAGTTCCTACACTGCTAGAGGCCAAACTCCAACGGAACCCGGATTTTCTAGGACAATCCTGGATTCGGAATACTAACAGACTGCGATTCCGAAGAGCACCGCAAGCTTTCGACCTTTCTCCAGAACACTGTCAGCAGGTTGTCGCAAACAAGGATGCAAGAAACACATCTCATACAAACATCGAAAGATTTCTCAAACGCAGACACATCCACAGTGAGAACATATTTTTGGATAAAACATGCTACGTTTGCGTCATTCGACAGGGCTAACTGAGCAGCGTTTGCGTCTGATGCACAAGGATTTCGGCACACTGCGCATATTCCATCGAGTTCATCAAACCCCGAACTGCAATTAAAAAAAAAATTGGCATGATCGCAAATCGGCCACTATTATTTCGATGCGGGTCTTACTGATTTTTCACAGCCTTTACGTCACGTCTGCTTTCCGTCATATGGAGGGATATCACGCACTAATCGCAATATAAAATCTGAAAAGAAACCCTGAGCTTCTTTCTGAGTTACAATGCACAAAAAAAGGGGGTAGGTCCAGAAGTTCAAGGAATTCAAAAAATTGACACTTGCCCGCAGTCTTTCAATCACGACATGCATCATCAGAAAAAACAGATTGTTTTTCGAGACTTTCATGATCTCTACGAGCAAAGGTTTTTCGAAACGCGCGATTAATTCATGGGCTGCATCTTCAAATCCATTGATTGATGGGTTTAAAAAATAAGGAACAAAAAAATAATTATACGTGTACCTCAATCTCCATATACTCCAGCTGAAGAGTAGGTCATGGGTGACGATTGTTCAATACAGGAACTCACTACTACGGTACTACCAGTGACTAACAAAGTTAGCATGAGAATAAAAATACATTGGGCAAGCATCACTCTCACGATTCCCTTGAAATTTTGTACCTCACGACATACATTCATCCAGAGAATAAATAAAACCAATGCGTCAAGCGAAACTTTGCTTTACTCCCGCAACATCCGACGAAGAGCCGAAAAACAGCAGTAAGTGGATTCCTCGTTTATTGAGGTGCGGGTTTTCCACGGCCATATCCTCCTTTCTGTAATAAGAGAGGGGTATCATTCGTCGGCACCATCACAATATGGGCAATTGAAAAACTCACGAATTCAATTCCTTCGCCGCCTCCCAAACCGACGTCACCCTTCTTGTCAAACGTTTGACGACGGTAGCTCTGACGATCACCATCAGCCTTCGCCCCATCTCTCGGAGCAGACGGCCGAGAAATTCTCGAGCTTTCCACCTTCGTCTGGCGTTTCAGGGTGGATGGCACGATCTGTAACCGAAGAAAAAGGTTAGCACGAATGATTTGAACAGGTGTAAAATCAAAATATGACACAGGGAGATCACCTAGGAGAAACTCGGATAAATTTCATACAGAAAACGTATCAAAATGTATTCGCCATAACTACTTCAGTTAATGTCTACAATAGCTACTGCTCGACAGATGAAGAAAATCTCCAATTCGTGCATATTTTACATTGGAGTATTGTGACATCGGAACACGGAGCAAAGGCACACTACAGAGCTAAGCGAAAACGTAACTTACCTCTGCCGGCAAGTGGAGAAAGTCGCGGAGATAGGTTATACCCTCATTTGTCAAGTACCAATAGTAATGACGCCATGCGAACTGCTCCTTTACGAACCCGCGGGACTTCAGACTCTGTTGGCATTCAAGAAGGAATTGTGATACGGTGCATTGAAATGAGTGTCATATTTCGTAATACCTGAAGAGCCTTGACAACGTGCAGGTTCGGCACGTCGAGATGCGGGTGCTTCGGGAGGTTCAGGTTCTTCTCGGCAACCATAACACCTTCCTTGAACAGGAGTTCGTAGATCATGACGCGATTCTTATTGGGCATCAACATGATTGCGGCTTTTCCCGACGGCTCGATAGATTAGACCAGCACTAGCGAAATAAATCTGAGGATTAAAGTTTAATTAATTTCTTGAACGATAACGATGCACAGAAAGATGACCAGGAAAGAAGAACGTTTTTCTGATGCTGTGAAAATATTAAAACCACGAAATCGCTCCTGCATGAATACGCTCAGCATATATAGATCGAGGAAAATAAATAGGCTCATGAACACCATTCACTTCTTCACAAGACAGAACACTAGAATGGATGTTTTGAGCTGAAATTACACGAGTTCACCGAAAGATCCACGAACCTTCCTGCCTGCCACACCCTGACTAGAAATGGAAGTGGCCATTTTGGAAAATTATTATGACCTAAAAGTCGAAAAAACATAGAGCGTGAACAGAAGTATTCATCACAATTGTCACCAACCTGCCTGACTTCGAATCTATGTGCTTCGTGAAGGAAGTTCCAAATAAGAAATGTTTTTCTGCTGAAATGTGTCGTGTGACTTTACGCCTGCAATAGGACACCTTTACAGGCTAACACTGTTTTTCTGTCGTCAGAGCTAATCTGGCAGACAAATTACTAGGGAACCTTGTAATTCCTCGGCATTCGAGGTGACGAACCAGCATGCCCCGAATGCGCCGCGGGGTCGCTAGTAAAGTAGCAGAATGCTGCTTGTGTACTGTGCGGAGTCCGGAATCATGTGGCAGGAAAACTTTGGAAACAGAACTGAAGAGTGGTGATTCTGCTCGGGAGTTTTTGCTGGAGCATAAACTCGTCGGGCTGTGGGTCCTAGAGACAAAAGCAGTGGACATATGCGATAAATGTTTTGCTCTAGTCGAATCGTGTGATGACCTCATGGCACAGTTCAGAAATAAACTGCAATTGTGTCGGGATATCAAATCAAAGCGAATCAAGCACGGTGCTGCTCCTGGGACTTTTGCGGAAACGGACGATTCTGAAAAGGTAACTAATGTGAAGCCTTCTGGCCGCACCTTCGATTTCGGGAAGCAATCCCAGGAGGAAAATCATATGGGCCTCGGAAGAAAATGAGAAACACTTATGGAAATCATGGCTTGTACATGAACACCGCTGGGACGAACTGTCACATCTATTTTCAATAGCAGTCGACAGGTTTAATGTGTTTACACATTCAAAACTCGAAACATTGTTTACTTTATGTCGTGAAACTAATTCTGAGGCATCATCCCGAGTAAAGATCGTCTTCCGTATCAGCGTGTACACTATGCTGTTGGCGAATGCCTGAGTAAAGGCCCCAACTTCTGGTTTGAGCCCAAATTTTAATCTGAAAGTGCGGCATATACATGAATGAATGAATAACTATGCTTCATCAGTGTACTTATCTTTTTTTAGGTATATGGAAGAGGTATTCGTGGACGCAGAAGAACAACTGGCCTCGCATCCGCTTCTGTAACTGTGCCGAAAAAAGCGAGACACAGGAGCCCAAGTTTGGAACTCGGAGAAGACGCCTCATCCAAAGAATGCTCCATCGTTTCTCAAGACCTAATCGAAGATAACATGTGCATAAAAGTGGAATTTGTGAATGGAGAGGAAATCGATCTTTCGCCATCTAATCCCGAAGAAGAAACCGTGCAGTACATTGATGTGATTCAGCCGTCTGATGAAGAATTCGAACCTAGTTTCAACTACGAAGAGTTTGAAGTGGAATACGAAAGCGCGGAAGAAGGAACATCGGAAGAAGCTGCTGAATCGAAGAAAGACTATCGTGAATGGTCATCCGAAGATCCAGCTTGCAGCGACCCTAGGCCGTTTCAAGTTATTCGAAGCAAAGGTGCCTCGAAGTATTATATCGATGGCTTCATATTCAATTATGTGCGTGCAACGAAATCAGACAAAGACATAATTTTTGTGCGATGCAACCATTATCGCGTCGCTGGCGTGGAATGTCCTGTGATAGGGGCCATCAACATGTCCGAAAAGAGATTCTACTATGATCCCGTCACGCGGAAAACCAATCATAATCATCTGCACGCCGCAATCCAGGCTGATGCTGAATACATCTCATATGCTTCGGTTTGTACTTCTTTTGAGTTTCGTTTTACTTCAGATTTACTCAGCGAAGATGAACAGTCCCGTCAATGGAATATTTTAATGTGAATGGAATATTGTATTTTTTGAGCTTCTGAAATTTAGAAAAAGGGGTGCTTACATCCGCGTAAATTCGGTAGTGCGATTTACTTGCGTCGTAGGTTTTTTTTTGTTTTTGAAAAATGTGTCCAAATTCTCAACTGTCGATTGTGGTTTTGATGGATTTTCTGCAACTTAATGCCGTATGTGTACTGTAATCCATAAGTTTTTTTTTAGATCGTTGAGCGTGAACCAGAATTCCAACGGTGCATACTTGCCAACGGGAAAAAGGGTTTCGCCTGCGACTTGTGCTCCTACTCGGCAAGAACACAAACCTGTCTGGTCTCCCACATGAAAGCCATGCACAGAATACCGGACCAAGACGAGTGTTTCGAATGTGGCCGATGCCTTGAATCCCACGAAGAATATCTCAAGCACATGGACAGACATCGTGCCGATTATCGCGAAAAAGTCACTTGCATATCCTGCAGGGCACCGATGCAAAAGAAGTCCCTGGCATTCCACGTGCGAGCGTACCATAAAGGTCAAATTTTGTTTAACGACGAACAACGGAAAGAAGCCGGACTGGACATGATGAAGTGCGCGATTTGTAAATTCAAGGTGGATGGAAAAAGTTTGTTTCATTTGCACGCTCTGCAAGCCCACTACGGAGAAAAGGCGTATGGGTGTGAGTTTTGCGAGAAGACTTTTCCATCGTATCGAAGTTTGAGGGATCATTTGAATGTCGCCCACACAAAGACAGCGGAGTTTGAGTGCAAGGATTGTGATGCGAAGTTCCTGACTAGAGTCCAGTGAGTAAAATTAGAGGAGCTGAGGTCTTCCATTACCAGCGGAGAATCTTGGGTTTTATCTTCATTATCTTTGAAAATATTTAAATTTGCAATTTCTGTCGATCGTGTTTCATTTTAGTTTTTGCTGATCCATGCAGAAATGATTCATCAAATTCGACTGTCAAACCTTGATAAGGCAGCTTCATTTTTTGAGAGGCTTGTGGCAGTTGAACGGGGTTGGCAGTGAAAAGGCTTGATGGTTTATTTAAAAAAAAAAAAAACCAAAATACTGTATAGTTCAGTATTATGAAAATTAAGCAAATTTTGCTTCAGTAAAATTCTCAATCTTCTAAAAAAATCAGAATAACCCCGGAATACAGTAAATAAATCATATCTACCTAATGTTTCCAAGAAGTAAGTTATGGCATTTGTGTGTATGTTTGTGTTTTTCCGGGTACACCTCTCACAGAAACTTGAATCATTTTGGTGGGTAATGGAAAACAATGTTGATTGGTAGCAGCATGTTTGAGTTGTCAGTAACTTTGGCGGATAGCGTTTTAACAGGGTTTTCAATATTATTATCATTAGGTAAGCTTTTTAATTTATTTTTACAAGATAAATTAGTTTTTGCCGAGGTTGGTAGCTTTTTGGGGGGTTTCGTATTAGGGTTTGACAGTACTTCCTTGATATAAAAAGAAAAGGAAGAAAGAATTTTCAACCTTGTATATTTTCTGACGGAAGTGCATAGATTTCTAACATTTTTTTCAATGTGGAAAAATTAATTTCATTGAAATTGGAAAATTGAAGATTTTGAGGCGAGAGTTCCACTAGAAAAAAATACATGCAAGTCGTACTTTAAGCCTATTTAAAAGTTCTCGATTATGCTTGAAGATTTTTGTACGTATGTATTAAAAGACATTTACGTTCTTTACTCCTCTTTTTTTAGATACCAGAGACACCGTGAACTTCACCAACCTTTGCAGGGCAGGAAATTGTGTTCAGATTGTGGTATCACATTGCCGTCTGCTGGATACAGGGATCATTTGGTTCTGGTGCACAACCATCCGGTAATTGTTCTGACTTCGGCGCCTTTCTTTTGGGCATTTTGTAAACCTCATTACATCTGTCCTTGATTAACTTTTAAGTACATTGATCAGGGGATGCAAAGTGACGGCAATCATTTCGGTTTATGCCATTTGAGCTTCTTGAGATGAGTTTGGATTTCATAGAGACGTTATCGAAGAAATTGAGATAATGATGAGCATTGCAAAGCTAAAGGAATACAGGACATTTTTTTTTATTTAAGGATAGAGAAGCGAAAACATCACGAAGTTTTCAAAGAAAATTTCGTGATGTCGACTAGTAAATTAAGTGCTCATCATTGATCGCAAAATTTTTCCAGGTTATTGGAGAATGATTGTTTCATCATAGAAAATTTTTTTTTGTATTTTTTTTTCGATCATCTAAAATGTGTGTGTTTATCAGCCGGTCAAATTCACTTGGATCGAAAAATCTAAATTTACTAGGTTTTCCGAGTGCAGAGGTTTTTATTCCATCACGTCGGCTAATTTTTCGATGATTTATCGCTTTCAATTTTTTGTCGGAGGGTCAGGTTGTAGATTTATATTACATCTGATTTTCATGAAATTCACGCGCGTATTTGATGATGTATCTGTAACAGAAAAACATCATTTTTCACACTTCATTGAACGTCCTCTTCTATTTTTTTTCAGGCCAAACGTGAATGCAAATATTGTGGACAGAAATTGGCGACCTACAACATGTTACGCTCTCATATGATTCTCGAGCACGGTGTGGAATTCCCTAAACAAAAGCGGAAAATCCGAGTTTGCGAAGACTGCGGACGCTCGTACACTTCAGCCACTGCTTATACATCGCATCGGATAAAACACCACGGGGATCTTCCTGTTGACGAAGACTTTCCCACGTGCACCTACTGCGGATCCGAATTCCTCACCAAAATCATCTTGCGGGAACACTACAAAAACTCTCACGGGTGGTATTTTGTGGAGCAAGTGGAAAAGGGGATTCAGTGCAAGTACTGCGGCGTGTATTCGAGGGATAAGTACTTGTTCCAGAATCATTTGAAGCTCGCGCACCAGTTGGACTGTACGATCAAGACGATACGTGCCCACATGAGAGTGCCCGAGGGTGCCAAAAAGCCCCTGGTACCCAAAGTGAAAACTGAGACCGAAGAGATGGACCCCGACCTAATTGTCCAAACTGTATAATATTTCCTGTTTACGCGAGTACGAGGCGCACTTTTTTATAATCCATATTTGTTTCCAATCAAAATAATGCTGGATAATGCTGTTTTATGGTCCAAACATGGGCAGCTGTTCAAGTGATCCACATTCTTGCTCATTCAACGTCTTTCTGTTACGGTGGATAGATTTTGAAAGCCAGATTAAGCTGAATTCAGAAAGCCGACAATTTAAATTGCTGGTGGATTGTTGCTTCTTTTTAATAGAATGAACAAGGGTAAGTTTGGCGGATTGAGCGAAGATTCTAAAATTGATTGTATGGTCGATTTCGCTTCAGGCATAATTTAAGTTGGTCTTGATTTCAATATTGTGTTCGAGGATACATTGTCAAATGAAAATTTGTGTATTTTTCTTTGCTTGACTTCTTGCGCGGGAGTTTCTAGCATGCTTCGATGCAACATTTGATGTTAATTTTAGATTCTCGAGCAAATCGGCTTAAGGATATGAAGAAGAGATAAGTTGCGTCTTATATTCGCGTAATTAAGGCAAAGGGTTGGAATATTTTGTGAGCAGTATCAGTGGCTGCTCAGAATTTTTTTACGCCATGCCCTTCCTTTTTTCTGTGTGCGGTTTTTTTTTTGTTCTGTTTATTTTGGAGCTGTTCAGAGAGCGAGAAAGATGAAATTTGGGCGCATGTTGTGCCGACTCTTGATTCACATTTTTGTTTTCGCCGCGTCTTGTGTTTTCTGATACAACGTTTTTGTCGAATTGTACCGGGAAAAAATTTCCTGTGCTCGTTTAATAAACTTTTTTTGCGTGTCGTGGAGATGATAAGTGTTTCAACTCTGGTTTTTTTTTTTAGGTTTTCCTTTGCGGGAAGTAGATTAGTCGTGTAAATGGCGGATAACGATAATCCTGGAAAAGGAAAATTACTTCGCGATATTCTGGTGAATGAATTATCGGAGGCTGTGTTGTGCAGTGCGGAGCCATCTTTTTCCCGCCATATTTACGACACCCTCGGGGTAAGTTATTTTTGTGATTGAAATTTGTCTTCGTTGTCTAGGTCGAAATATTATTTTGTTTAAAATCGCCAAGTTGCAATGTTTTGGTTGGGATTGCTGCATGCTTTTGCCTGATCCATGATGACGTAATTTTTGGAGAACCCTGTGAGACCAGAAAAAAATCGCTAAACAAAGAAAAGTCGTTGTTGAGAGACTCATTCGTACTAGCAAGAGTAGCAACGACTACCGAACGCTTGCACTCAAAGTACTCATTGTGTAAGACGTTGGGAAATTATTACTTCTCTGGGTCAGATCCGCAGGTTGATTTTCTCAAGTTTTATCTTTTTATTTCCATCAGTGATTCGTGGTCAACTTATATTTTTTTTTCCTGTTTCAGGTCAAAAACAATGCTCAATTTCGACAAAAACTGAAGAAAAGTCTCGCTGAAATACCCGTTCCTTGGGACAGGGCCGTTCCGAAAACCATGTAGACCAGAAACTCGTCAGACTCGTACGAGGATGTGTGATTTAACTAAGTTCAAAATCGTGCTGTGATGCTATTTTTCAGGTCTTCTCGACTAAACTGCAGTATGTTCAGTATGCATGTTGATAATTCATTCAACGACTTTCTCGAAATGCTGACAGATTCCAATGCCGAAGCAATGTGTCGTGTGCGGGATCGAGTTATCTTCAAGTGGGACTTGCGTCGCGTTGGAAATTTCCCTCATGTGTGGTGGGAATGTCGGAGAATTTTTAGTGGAACATGAAATAACGGACGCATCGTTGTTCAAGGACGAATCGACGGATATTTGCTCCAATTGTCTGTGCGTTATTGTCACTGCCGGCACGTTGTTGGCCTCATTTTCGCGGAAAATTGACTTCTGCAAATCACTGCACCGTAGGCGTAATGGCTTTCTGCGTCTCGCGAATACTGATGAAAAGGTGCGTGCAGTATTTTTAATGCTGAGTGCGTTGTTCACTTTTCAGCGTAGAAGATTCGCTGGAGACATCGTATTGTGATTATTTCAATTTTTATCGCTCACCCTGCTGCATTTGTTTTTTCTCTAGGGGAAGGAAATGTTTGATGCTGCCTTTATACCAAAGAAGCCTCGTTTGTGTAGTCAGACTTCTCCTGGACAAGCAAAAGCAGAAGTTTACCCCGAAGTTGATTGTTCACGTTCTTCGTCAGATGCTTCTGATTCACTGGATCAATCATTCGCTGAGAAGACTGATGACTCTTCAGAATTTTGTCGAAAACTTCAGGAAGCACCTGGGGTAAGGGCAATCCAGTCGAATAGAAAGTGTATCCATTTTTCCTCTCAAAGATGCGTTTTTAACGGTATGTACAATTTTTCGCTTGTGGAAAAAGTGCTGAATTTCGTTTAAAGATTGAAGAAAAAGCCAGCGGAGTCTCAAATGAAATACACATTAGAAAAATTTATTCACTTTTCAGCGTAGAGGATTCGGTTGTGACATCATATTGTGATTATTTACATTTTTATCGCTCACCCTGCTGCATTTTTTTTTTTCCTCTAAAGGAAATGTTCGATGCTGCCATAAAAAAAAATGTAAAAGCTCTCAATAATCTAAATTGTCAATTTTTGATTTCTTTCACTAAATTCTTCAGTGTAGGGAGAATTTTGGTGCAGAGAACTCTTATGAAATGGGGAGAGAACCCTGTGGGACAAAAAAAGATAAGAAAAACTCATTTGTCAGAGCAAATCGTTGTAGACAAGATTGTCGTAGAGTGAGTCCGTCTGTATTATTTTGAGCAACTTACCTTTGTTGGTTTCCTCGATGTTTCGAAAATTTTATAATTACGTGATGATGTTTTTTTTTTATATATTTCGAAAGCGTGTGACTCAATTTTTTATTGGAGAGATGTGAATAATTGAGAATGAAGAATGCCTCAAATATTATTTGAGATGAAATATGCGTGAATGTTGTGGGAAACTGGCTTAGAACGTGGCTTAGAAAAGCCATGAAGATCATATTTTTAAAGTCTGGCTGACTACTTCAATGTGAATCTGCATATTTCAATCGTTTGGTGAATCAAATTCTAGCAATTCCCCAAAAAATGCCTCAGACAATTACTTCAGTTTTTGTTTCCTTTTTTTCAGGACGATTATGAATTATTGGTCAGCTAAATTCGTGATGTACCTGAACCCGTTGATCAATTTTTTAGCCTTGTTAACTAATGTTAATATGCTCAAATAATTATTTTCGCGAATCCAATTCTCGAATTCCAAAAAATTTTTTTCAAACAGGTACTCAATTTTGTTCATTATTCTCAGGAAGACGAGGAATTATTGACCAGCAAAACTGCTGATGCACCTACATTGCTTAAACACGAGCGTGTGAAAGAAAAGGCCAAGTCCAATTTCGTGTGCCAAATTTGTGGCCTCCGGAAAGTTACGTACGCGACTCTCATTCGCCACCATTTGAAAGACCATTCCGATCAAGATGGTTTCCGTTGCTTTGACTGCGGCTTGTCATTCCAGTCTAAGTCCGAACTTCGCGTCCATGCAAACGTCCATCTCATCAACTCTCGCAACAACGTCACGTGCATTACCTGTCGTCAAACTCTTAGCCTCGACACTCTTTCGCGTCACATCAAATCTCAGCACGGTGGAAAAATCGGGAGGACGAAAGAGCAGAGAAAGAAAATCGGAGTCCGGTTTAAGCTTTGTGCCTTGTGTGATTTTAAAACCGTGTTCGCGACTGTGTTTGACGTTCACGTGGCCCAGGAGCACTTCGGTGAACGGGCGTTTGGATGTGAATTGTGTCCCGAAGCCTTTTTCAACGTGCATCAGTTGAATGCTCATTTGAACAAGGAGCATTTTGAGGTGGAGGGGTTTGAGTGTCAGAGGTGTGATGCCAAGTTTTTTGCCAGAGCCAGGTAAAAGCCTGATTTTTTTTCCTCCACCCCCGAAACATGAATCGAAGTGTTACTAATGGTTTTTTTTTTCATAGGTTAGAAGCTCATATTTTGAAAGAACATCGACCTGAGGCCAAGAAAAAGTTGTGTCCTGACTGTGGAATCGTCGCGGTAAACGCTGCTGCGTTATCAGCTCACATGTCTGTGGTTCACGGTGCTCCTGTGAGATTTCATTTTACTTGACATTCAGTTTTTTCCCCTCATACGTTCAATCGAAGTATGCTCATCATCATGTCCTAATTTCTTGCTTATAAAGTCTTATTTTATTTTTACTTTTTTGCTGAAGAGAAAACCAGAGGGACTTATTTAAAAGGGGCGCGCACCCCCTAATTTAAATAAAAAGGTGCTCTTGGTACTTGTATAAATATGGTGATAAATTTTCATTTGGCTTGTAGAACAAAAGCTGCAGCAAATGTGTCGTGATTCAGTATTTCAGATCAATTTTTGATGTGCTGTTTCAGTGCAAGTTTGAATGCAAGGAGTGTCCGGAAACGTTCCCGACTCGTCACCTTCTCCGGAAGCACATCCACAAGACCCACTCGGGACCGGATCCAGTAGAGCAACGCGTGCCTCGCAAACGCCGAACCTGCGAAATCTGCGCGAAGGTCTTCACTGTTCGCGCAGAATTTGCAGGACACATGAAATCCGAACACGGGGTCGAATTGCCGGGATTGCGGACGTATTCTTGCGGCAGATGCGGTGCTGTGTTTTATTCTGGTGAGAAACGCAGGGGTCATCAGAAGGCTGCTCACGGAATAATGCGAGTGGAGCAGGCGAAGGTCGGTATTGTTTGCAGTTTGTGTGACCTCGCATTCCCGGAGAAGTACGAGTTTAGGGATCATTTGCGGAAAGAGCACGGGGTGGTGGTGAGTGCAAAAAATATCCGGCCGTACGTGAGATTTTCGTGAAATAATTTTGGACGAATTTTTCGTTTGTAATTTAAAGTTGAACCGTGATAATTCGACCTCTTTAAGTCAAATGTCGATCTTTTGAAGTCCCCATCAGAACTCCCTTGGAAGCAATGCATTAAAAACCTCCATAACTCGAATTTTCTGGCTATTCATTGACGCAGGAAAGAGAAAGTAATACAAAATTTAACCCGATTCGTTTTGAAAGGAAACGAAAGACTAATCGGGCAAATGAACCCTCTTCTCCCAAGTCCAGCATCTTGTCAACTCATTTAAGAAGAAATTCGAGGTCCAGAATATCACCTATTAAAATTCTGTTTTCTTCTCTTCTACGAAAGTGCTTGTTTCTACTAAATTTTCAAGGCCATAAATTAAAACGTGGTTGATCAGAAAAAAATAAGAATTTTTATCCACCGTGTTCGGGCATTGGAAATAGTTCTATGGCTCTTGAAATAATATTCAGAGACGATGAAGAAGGGATTCTGGAGACAGGAAACAATCACTTACTTCAGCCGCATGGTTTTAAAACGTTTTATAATCCATCTTCCGAATAATTTTTAGTTCAAATTCGTTGAAGATGTGTGTTGTATTTTTCGGGGACAACAGGATAGCTACGACATTTTCCCTCGAATCAGCACTTTAGATCTACGAGACCTTGAATGATTGCGTGTCCTCGACCGTAAGTGTCTTCATCGGATGCTTGGTTCAGTTTCATGAGGGTTGATATCTCGATTTCCCTCTGATGCCCCGGAAAAAGGCTGCAATTGAAGTTCTTTTCCGTTTTCGTGTTGGGTCCGAAGTATTTGCAAGGCATTTTTTGCTGAATTGTCGGGATCATTTGGTAGAGGTGCACCGTCTTGCAGTAGTGCATCATGTAGGCCAACCCTGTCGATTCGAAAAGGAATTTTTTTTTAGCTACAAAGCTAGCTATTCTAAAAATGATTATTCTGATTTTGTTTG